CTCTACGCAGCTGGCGGGGCTCACGGCGCGCGGGGACCTAGAGCGCCACACCGCCGCCCCGCCCCCTGCGACGCCGCGGCCGCCGTGACCCCCAGGCCTGCCTGGGTCCGACCCGTCTGCAGCCAAGCCCCTTTTAGGGTCCCCGGCCCCGAGGGTGCGGGCAGCATGCTCGGCCTGAGGACCTGGTCTTCCCTGCTCCAGGATCTCAGTAAGTGGCCAGCGGGGAGGGACAGGGGAGGACAAGGTGGCGCCTTCGGGATGCCACCCCCACCGCCGAGGACCCCCAGGCCAGGCACGTGGCTAGGTGCGCCAGCCTCGCAGCCCCATCCGGTCAGTGCAGGGAGAAGCAGACACCGGTGCCCAGGGTCTGGCTGTGCTGGGCACCTAGGCTGGGTGCCCAAATGGAGATCCCCTCCAGACTGACCACCCACGGGGCTGGCTGCGGGCCCAGGCTCCACCTTGCCTGGGGCTTCAGCTCCCCGGGTGGAGCAGAAGGGTGTCCCTGGCAGGGCTGGTGAACCAGGGTACCAGGGGACTGAAATTCTGGAGGCAGGAAACGGGGCAGTGCTTCTCCCCTCTTACTTGCCAGGTGGACACTTGGGGTGGCATCCCACCCTGAGCCGTTTCTCTGGGACTCGCCCGCTCCCTGCTGCCCCACATCTTGGGGGCTTCTGGGAGTGGAAACCCCACTCTACCAGGCCGGAACCTGGCCTTGCTGGTGGCGTGGTTAGGTAAGGAGAGAGGGACGTTGTGAGGCCAGTGCCCACTGGCATGGCCCGGTCCCGTGTAGAGGGGGTGGCGGGCCCCAGGGCAAGATGAGGGCATGGAGGGGCAGGGCTGGGCAGGGGCCGCTGAGGTCCTCATCCACGCATGGGCTAGCAGAGCTATGATGGACAGCAGTTCTGGTTCCCGTCGTCCTGTGGGGTAGCTGTGATGATAGAGGGCTGGGGACACATCCCTCCCGTGTCAGGCTGGGCATCCTTCCCTCCAGGTACCTGCCAGCCTCCTTTCCCAAGTGGGTCTCCTGCCCGCCCGCCGCGCCTGGCCTCCACCTGCCGCCCGGCTCTGCATGTGCCTTGGTCCTGTTTGAACTGCAGCTTTGAAAGCTTTTCCCCTTTTGAAACGCAGGGGGGAGCGTCATTTGTGGAGAGGTGGTGAACAGTTGATGATTATAGGGCAGCGGGTAGAAAGAGCTTAAAACAAATCCCCATCCATCAGATGTCGGCTTACGCGGTTTCCAGGCTCTCCTGGGAGCTGGGGTGGGGGGCATCTGCTTGAGGGGGTGGCTCTTCCCTTTGAGCCAAGCTAATCTACAAAACTCTCCTCTTATTTTGGTGTTTGATCACCAAAATCACTGCTTCCCTCTGCCTGGCACCCTTTTGTGATCCTTCCCCGAGTGCCTGGCTGGTGGAGGGAGGCATCCCCAAGGGCCTCTCTCTGGCTCTGACCTTGACCCGGTCATGGGGCATCTCAGAGCCTCAGTTTCCTTGGGGAGGATGGTCATGAAGCCTCATGTGCGTGCCTAGCTGGCCATGTCCTGCCTTCCTGCCCCTCTGCTACCCAGTCCTTGTCGAGCTGTGTAGCTGGCTGGCCCTTAGTTGCTGCCCAAACCCTGCCTGAAGGCAGCAAGGAATCAATCGCAGACAGACCTCTGGCACACGTGATGGGACCCTGCATGCCCACACTGTCCTTAGCTGTGCTCACCTGTCGGCCTCACCTGAAGGGAGAATGGCTTCCTGCCTGTGTTTGGGCTGGTCAAGAAACAGGGCTGCTCAGGGCTCGGAGGGGTGAGGGACACGCAGGGGGCCTGGACAGGTCATGTCCAGAGATGCCCACGGGGCACCTCTTCCCCAGCGCCAGGAGAGGAAGTCCCTCGGTGCGCACGGGTGGAACAAGTTCAGAGCCCCACCCCCGGCTCCGCAGCTGGGATCTCAGGCCTGGCCCCGGGCACCCCTGGCTTCTCAGTGCCTGGCTGCGAGAGGAGATGGCGTGTGACAGCCGGGTGACCCAGCCTGTGCACATGGTCTTCTTTTTGTGGCACAGGCTTGCGGTTCAGTCCTTGTGGGACTAACTGCATCTCTGACAGAGGCTTTGCACTTCCTGTTCATAAGCACCCCCCGCTCCCCCCACGAGAGCCCTGCCTGCTGCTCCTCCCTCTCCACAGTCAGGGCCAAGCTCCGCCTCACCTTAGCGTCTCCCTGGCGCCGCACATGCAGCCAGTGCCCGATAAATGCCTGCTGGAGGAATAGACGGCTAGCGTTTTCCTAGCTAACCTGTTGGACGTTGGCTCCGTGTCGGGCTTCTCGGTGAGGGCTGTGCTTGGATGCCTTTGAATCACTTCTACAGTCAGCGTGGACCCTTGGGGACACCTTCCGCCCACCCCGTCCCCGAAGGGCATCAAGGATGAGTTCATTGCTGCAGAGCTCAGACCCTGCCCTGCCAGCAGGCTTTCCCTGGGGAAGGCCAGGTGCGCATCTCCAGGACAGTAGCCAGAGCCGCTGTCGGTCAGGTCAGGGCTTGGGAGGACGCAAGGTGGGTGTCCCCAGGCGGGGCTACAGCAGCCCCGAGATTGCTGGCTGGCTGTGCAGGGTGTTGGGCTTGGGAAGGGAAGACCTTCCTTTATGTGTGGGAATGAAGCCCAGGCTTGTGTGTCCGGCCTTCCCGGAGCAGGAGTAGTCCCCAGGCCCCAGAGAGCTGGCCCTGCCATGGTGCACGGTGGGGTGGACAGGCTCTGGCCCCTGAGGACCCACGGTGTCAAGGGCCCCAGCAGAACACAGGAACACCTGAGCTTGCTTGTAAACTGCAGGTAGGGCCAGGTGACCAGACCTCTGCTGGGGACAGACTGCTGGGGGTGGCCACGAAGACAGCAT